CTAAGGTAATCTACCGATTAATACTTACGCTATATTTTCTAGTTTCGTACGTATACTTTAGGGTATTTTATTAATTACCTTAGTATTATATATCCTATACTAGGTTTTATATATATATACTTATAGAATTCTATTTTATATTTTTCGTATAGGTTATTAATAACGCGGGTAGTTAGTCCCTTAATTAAATAAACTTAATACTTTTTTTTCTTAAGTATATAAACCTTATAAAAGTAATATATATAAGAGATTTATAAGAGTTCGTAGTATTTCGGTGCGTCTAGGTATATATATAAGTTATCTCCCGGGACTATTTTTTAATTTATTACTTAATTAATTCCTCCGCGTAGTATCTATATAGGGATAGTTATTTATAGATCTTCTCCCTATAATAAGGGGTTATATTTATTTAATATAGTTTTTATTTATTTTTCTTTTATAACTCGCTTATATAATAAGTTAGTTTCGAGTATTTATTTCTTTTATAAGAGCTCTTTATCGCTATCTATAGAGTTAGTATTAGATAATTCTTCGTTTATATTATCTAAGTACTTCCTTAGTCTTATAATAACTTTCTATATTATAGCTAGGGCGCGAGACCTATATAGCGCCTTAAAGAACTATCCTAATCTTTCCTTACTATCCCGATAGATTAAATAACTATCGTTATAATAAGTTATTTAATAAAGCGCTTTATATTTCGGGGTTCTTATTAACTTTCGTTAAGTAATAATAAGGTATTCTTTATACTCTTTCGCCTCGATTTTATATCCGGACTTAGTTATATTTAGCTATTTCTTACCTTTAGGTATTAAGTTCTAGCCCTAGCTTTATTCTTTCTTTAAGGAATAATATTCGCGCGTAAAGTATCCTTTCTTACTATAATTATAGTAAGTAAGGTTCTTCTTATTATCTATCGCCGCGATTTATTATTATATAATATCTAGATCTATAAGGCTTAGATTTATTATATATACTTATATAGTATTTTAGTAAGTCCGTCCTTAGTTAGTATAATATCCGCCGCGTCCTTAGTTAGGGTTACGTAAGATATAGGACGAATTATAGTTTTAGTTAGAACGATTACTTTATTTCTATCTATATCGGGTATATTATTAGTTATTAATTTTAATAGTAATAATAATATAGTTTAATAAATTCTTTAATAAATTATCCCTATAGAGTTTATCTTTAATTTCTTCCTTAAGGCCGTTATAGAAAGTTATTATAAAGGGTTCGTTATCTTAATCTAGCTTACTTAAGATTTACTAGAAAATAGCTATATAGTCCGATATAGATCTTTTTTATTTTAAGTTCTAGAGTTTCTCGATAGCCGCTTAAGACTTATTAGTATTCCTAAAAACTACCTTAAGTATATCTTCGAATCCCTAGAAAGTCGCGAAAATAGCGATTATCTTAGTATCTTTATTTATTAGATTATTTATTAAGTAATCTTTTATAATAAGTTTAAATTAATTAAGGGCTATACCTCCGAGGTATATTCCTATATAAAGGGCCTTATTATAATTATTATTAAATTAAATAAGGAATAATCGGTAATAAGTTTTAAATTAAGTAAGGAAACCTTAGAGTTTACCTCTAGCGCTAGTATATAGTCCGGGGGTCTTAGGCTTAATAATCTCTCCTAAGTCTTAGTATTATTAGATATTAGCTATAGTATTATATTACTTAAGTACTCGATATAGTAATATATTAAATAAAAGCTATTAATATATAATATTTAGGTTAGACTAGCTATAAGGTAGGTAGGTCTAAAGTTAGTTTATAAACTAAGTATACTAAGATATCGTTAACTTAAGCGGTTAGGTTATAGTTTATATACGAGATAGTAGATCTTATATAAATAATTATATTAATAGCTAAGAAGTTAGTAAAGACTAACTATAGTAAAGTTAGGCTTCCTATATATTAGTTATAAAAGTAAGGGCTTACGAGAGCGTTATAATTTAATAAGCTAAGTATTAACGTTAGAGCGTAGGCTTATAGTAAGGTCGCGAGCTATAATACGTATAGTAAGCGTAGGTAGTATAATAAGAGGGAAAAGTAAGGTATACGTAAGAGGCGCATGCGGTTATATATTAGGTTATAATACCTAGTAAGTCTAAGGGATAAAGAAGAGTCCCTTCTAGAGCCTCTAGGCTCCTTACCTTTAAGGCCCTTATAGCGTTCTTTCTTACCGGAATAACGCCCGGCTATAGCGGCTATAGCGCCTATAATAGCTATAGCGCCTACGCTTATAATACTTATAACGCCTCTAGTATAACCCACAGAGGCTATAGCGCTAAATAAAGCTATTAATTTAATAAATCTATCCTAACGGGCCCTTATTTATAAGGCTAAAGAAGAGGCTTAAGCTATTATAGTATATAATATTCGGGTTTAAACTAACTACCGGGTAAATAGAATAAAAGTCGGTTTATAAACTAAGTATACTAAGATATCGTTAACTTAAGCGGTCGGGTTATAGTTTATATATATATTGAAAATAGGGGACTAATCCCCTAATTAGGTGCCTTACGAGGCCCTCTCACAGAACCCTTACAGGGATCTATTCAGGACCTATTACAGGGGTCCACAGCGCTTACAAATACAGTGCTTCTATTGCCTTCTATAATATTCGAAGGCTAGCACTGCCACACTCGCTATTATAAATCAAACCTTCTATAACCTTCCACTAGGTTCGGTTTGACCCACTCTTTTACAGGGCATTACAGCGCCCTCACGCCTATAAATATAGGCCTTCGTTCACTACTAGATAGTTCTGAATTAAGTTATTCATTCACTTAGTTCTTTACCTATTACTTTGCCTACCCTAAAGGGTTCCCGGATTATCGCGATTCACTTACCCTACGCCTAGAAGAGTATTACTCTTTAATAATTTTAATACACTAGAATACTTAGCTTAAGAGATTTTAATAAGGTTAATTTATCTATAGTACTTATAATATAGAAAAAGGGATTTAAATAATATAAAGGAATATATATAGGAATAAATAAAATATATATCTAAAGTATAATATAAGTTATAGGTAATAGTTACCTCCCGGGCTTATAACTATAATACGCTATAAAGAAGGTTATTTAAGTGCCTTATATTATTATAAAAGAGATAACTATTAAGGCTTTATTTATACGCTCTTAATTATATAAACCTATCCCCTTAGAGCTTTTTTCTCTAATTTCCTATATTCTAGGTCGTTTACCTTCGGTTTAATTAATTTCGGGTTCTCACCCTTCCGGTGTTACCTTTCACCGCTAACGGTAGAATCCCAATCGAGCCTAGCCCCGCTATAAGGTGAGCTCATCCTTACAATACGGCAGTCGGTCGCGAATGGGCGCAACTTGAGCCTACCCTAGGCTCAAGTGAATCTTCTTCTTGGCCATGACCCTGAACCTGATCAGACGCGTACGTATAGTACAGGACAGAAAAACAAGCAATGCGAGATATCGAAGCGGCTCGCTGATAAGCTCGGGACACGTGCGTGATTATTTGGCCATTTCTAGGGCCGATTGTCGCGACGAGTGCTCTGCCAGGAAATCCATCAGACATGTCAGTGAGGGACACGCAATAGACATTTCAGATTCAACCCCAAAAGCAAGAAGCGAAGAAAAAAATTGCGTTAAAGCGCTCACGTCAGTTTTGGAACTCAACTACCGGATGCCACTCTGGAAACGTTGATCCTGTCCTGTTATACCGCGCGCCTTAGCCCTGAGTCCTGACACCACGGGAGCTTCTTGAGGAAGCTGGACCATTAATTTTCGCTACCTTAGCTTTATTCCTCTGGGCGACTGGCCACGGCAGGCCGGCCGCTGCTGTCGATAGAAGAGCTGGGCCATCGACTCTATCAATTGTGCTCTGACGGTCCAAGCGCGACGACTATGAAGATTCAGGCAAGAAGCGCGTCGGGGATATACCGTCTTTGACTACCGCTTGCTATCAATTGACATACGACGCTGACATCAATCTGGAGCTCCACGACCTTCCGACCACGCACGCTCACATCACGGCCAGCTGACTACAAGGGCTAATTAACACAAAAATAGTCCTGGCGTAGATCGCCCACACATGAAATCAATCGCCATCCGCGAGTACCCGTCTTCAGCTCGAACCCAACGATACCGAAAGCAATGTACCCTCTCATTCCTCCCGTGGCGCCAGAGCCTGGATCTGTTCAAATCATGAGCTTGTACCGACTGGCATTCCGCAACGCAGTCTCCGGCCCGTTCGGGAGCGTCCAGGGACTGGTGAAAACTACCCTGTGTCTCGACCGAAGACATAAGCCGGTGACGTGAAGCAGTCAGACGGAACAGGGCACATCAAACGGTGCCAGTGAGTTCGCCAACCTCAAGGCACTAGAGCAAACTCAGGCCCTATGGCAGATGCCCCTTCACGCCCACTCCAACGACGAACACGTCCAGCGCCGCAGCGCGCTGCTCGTCGATTCCCGCGAGATCCGCGACTGATAATCCATCAGTGAGTGTGATCTCCTCGCGCAACGCCTGGATCTGCTCGGGTGGCAGAGTATGGTCGTCACAGGACTGGCCTGTGCCATGGGTGACATGGTGAGACGTGGAAGCGGTTGTCGTGCGCGAACACAAGGTCCATCTGCTCTCTTGACAATCGAGAGAGTTCCAGTGCTGAGTGGGGGTTGTGGGAGGGGTTGACGAGAGTAATACGAGCGTGGTCGCCACCGGATGTTGAGACGCGCACGTTAGGAATGAAGCCTGTGACTGAGGTGTGTCTGTTGGCCGCATTGCGTCGTTTAGTCCTGCTGGAGACCTTTAGAACTGCCTTGCGCTTTCGAACTACTGAGAGGCCGGTAGCTTCTATAGAAGAGAAGAAGAAGATGCTTCAAAGAGCGCATGCTCGCAGGACAAACGGCAGAATGTTATCTGCTTGAGCTCAATCTTGTTGTGGTCTTTGTGAGCCAGGTCGGGCGAATGCGGTCCACGATATGACACACCACTCCTTTCAGCGGATGATCATCTTTCAACTTCCTTCGTAGGGTACAACGCCCAGTTTCTTTGTCCTCTGGCATTAGGGCGCACACACTGACGGCCGAAACGCATTAGGAAAGGAGAGAGAAATCATGAGAACATGACAATAGCGAGTGAACGCGGGCGTACAATATCCTGGAGCGCAGGGACATATGCATTCTAGTATGGACAGATACTGCCCTTCTGGAACAAATGAATATATTCATTATAGTAAGCAGGAGAAATTCTGAGCTGACCTTGGTCTGTTCGTATAGTCGCCAGCCTCAGCTTTGTACCATGTCCCTCTGCAGATGCTCCCATGCCGCGATGTGGCCCTCCAAAGAGCCAGTCGCCAAGTAAAGTCGAGCGACGAAAGAGTAGAGCTTCCGCTTCTGGGTCTGTCTTTGGGTGAGGGGCTGCATCGGGCATGATGCCGACATCCAGGCGTTCTTGCTTCCATGCGTCTCTCACTGGGCCCAAACAAAGCGGCGACGCGCTGTTGCAAGAAGACCGACGACAGGGTGCCGTGCCGCAAAACAGGCGGGCTTTTTCGGACATCCTCTCGACAAGCTGTAGTAGTATGAGGGAACAAGCCCAGATCCAGAGTGAAGGAGGACTGCCGAGAGCAGGTAGCCAGTACCAGCAATCGATGGCGACATCGGGCAGAGGTGGGCGGACCGACCCTCGCACGTGAGCGGGAGTCACAATGCATACACTGACAGCGTTCTTTGATGCGCGGGCCCGACACACCAGTAGTTTTCGAGACTTTCTGCTCTTCGCTGGGCCTAGCCAGGTGGCAACCCCAGAACCTCCTCCTGGAACGCAGGCCAATACTCCCGCTCCAACCAGTCTACCAGACATCGCAGCGAGGCAACGATCTTGCAGACCCCTTGCTCATCGGAGGTGGACCCCAGGTGCATCCTGGAGTAGAGTGTCGGCTTGCTTGTACCCCCGGTGAACGGATCAGGCGAGTGCTGCGGGGGAAGGGTCGCGACAAAGTACCACTCGTGCCCGCTGATGATGATGCCCGGCAAGAACTCGACAGCGGCCTTGTCGGGCGCATGGCGACGCATACTCCTCCACTGCGCCGCATGCCAGGTCCCCATCTGCACCTCCGCCTCCAAAGCGTCTCCCTCGCGGCTCTTGACTTCGACGGAGAGACCAATCGGGTGGCGGCACAGCGAGCCAGAGTCGGTATGGTTGATCGAGTTGCCGGGGCGTGTTTTGCTGAGCTCCTCGATGCGGCGGTCGACGCGGCTGCCCGGCTCGGGCTTGAACACCAAGCAGCAATCGATCATCTTCGAAGGCAGTGCCAACCGGTGGAAGTGAGGGTTGATCCTGCTCGAAGTGCTGCACCAGAACGGTCAGTATGGGTACGGTTGGGAGTGGAGGCGAGGACGAGGCATAGCAGCTATCATGAACATACCCAGGCCGTAGATCCACGAGACCGGCTGTGTCATTGACGGGCCGAAGCACCCACAGGAGAATGCGGTAATACACTTCCAGGCTCCAGACGCACTCTGGCTCGCCCTGCATATCGCATTCGACGGCGCGCGCGGTGACACGTTTGACGAACGCTGCCAGGGACACGTCGGGGCGCGCGGGGGATGGTGCGTCGACACCCTCTTCCTCGGAGCAGAAGTAGCTCCGTGGGATTTCGAGCTCTTCGAGTCCCTCTTCCCACCACGCGCGCGGCAGCTGGGTGCCACCATTCCCAATATCCCTCAGTCTCCGGAGGACGTTGCGCAAGCCCCCAGGGAGAGCCTCTCTCTCACGCGTAAAGGGTCGCCGGTGATAGCCCTCGTCATCCAGCTCGGCAGCGCGGAGCTGCTTGGTGGGAGACGAGTTTCGGGAGAGGGATGACGATGCGGATCGTTTCGAGGAGGATCTGCTAGACGGCGTGCGACTCGGAGATGGCCGACTCGGCGGCGCCATCTGCACACTGTGATATTTCGAGGGCGCCCGAGGCGTCATGTCTGCCGCATCCTCCGCGAGGTCGTCGCTGTCGCGATTATGGCCGTCCATCGCGGGTTCTGTGTTGGGCGGAGACAAAGCCTGCCTCTTTCTGGGCGACCAGTCGATACCCTTGGGATCGCAAGGTCGTTTTCGGTCGTTCGGCAGTGTTACAGAACCCTCGCAGTCCTGGAGCCAGTCGAGGATTGTGTAATACTGCTCAATCGGGTATGGCAATTCTTCGGGCATGGCCTACTCGTGGGTGGAAGCTCGTGGCGCCGACTAGATGCGTGCAATGCGGCGAGACTGCGCGGACGACTGAATTAAGCACGGTGATCGTGCCGACGTTGTTGATGGCAGGGGCATGCACCGTCGTCCAGACAACCAGCCACAAGTGGCTGACATCGCGCACCTTCTGCTTATGTAAGTCATGTGAGGCTGGTGGAACAGCGGGGCCGAAAAAGGTTCACGACTCCTGGGCTGGGGTTCACCATCAATGATGTGGCTGGACGCTTAATAGACAACCTGTCCAGATACACGCTCCATCCTTCAGCACCTCTGTCCTCGCTCCGCGCGGTACTTGGGGCGGAGAGCGTGTCGCGTTGGCCTGCACGCGACACCCGCGACGCGACGTGGGTGACGCGACGCCTCGCGCGACCCCGTTAGCATGACCCCCCAGGACTATTGCAACGCCCTTGAGCTCTAACAGGCGACTCTGGGAGACCGTGCACCCATGGAGGAATCCACGCGACAGGTACCTAATTGTCGCCGCCCAGCGTGAGAAACCCCGTCATCAACGAGCGTTCGACAACCTCTGTACTACCAACCTGTTCACCTCAGCGGCTTGACTCGATGGAGGCAGCCATAGGAGCCGTCACGCCCTCGCAGCTACACAGAATCGCATTGCCATAGTCCTACTAACGTACGTTCGCACCAAGTAACGCCTCTATCGTCTTCCCGAAGCACAAGTGTAACCGCACTCAATTCCAAAGCCTCTGAACCGACGCCCACGCCCCTTTACCAACCACAGCCCGAGCCCTCTCCATGAAGGTGTCCGCAAGATCTGTCGAATCTTCCTTCACCCGCACCCATGTCATAACGCAATGGTGATCCTGCTTTGCCACGGCCACGACCACGACAACAACGCACACGGCCATGCCCAAGGCCACGCCCAGAAGGAAGCGCCAGCAACCACCACGCCCGGACGAGCGACGGGGCTCCATCGGCGTGCCAGCCTTGCCACGGCCAACGGTCGTCGACGCCGGCTGCCCTGTGCGCTCGTTGGGACCCGGGCGAGGCGAGCGGAGGGCGTCGTGGATGGAGAGAATGTCGTCGCTGTCGGACCCCTCCTCGTAGATGATCTCGTCTCTGGTCGCTCGGGTCTTCCTCGCACGGTCTGTGTTCGCTCCGTGAAACCGGACATTTAGTCGCTTCGGAGCCTTGGGGGCCTGGTCAAGATGGACGACGGCATCGGCGATGGCTTGGCTATAGCCAGCGCGGCAGTACTGACTGTCGCGGTCGGCCGGCATGGTCTGTTCGCGTGTGGGCGCAGTGTCCGAGTTGTTCAAGGACGACGAGAGCAAAGAGAGATAGGACAGTTCAACGCCTCCTCGTACCGGCCGGGCTGGGTTCTTTAAGGCTTCTGGTTCTGATGAAGCTGCCATTGCGAGATTTGCCATGCTCTTCTGAAGGCAGCTCATGACAAAGGCCACATGCGGTCTGGAGAGCAATATAGTCCTGTCGCCTTTGACCGCCCGCGAAGCGATCCCATCCTTCTGGACACTGAGCAGCGCCGTCGACTGACAGCTCACAATAAGGAGCGCCACACAACCGGCTCCAGCCATTGCACACCGCATCTCGACACTGCTGCTTTGAGACGGTGCCTTTTGTGCGCTGTGATTGTGTGACTATGCGGCCACCCATGGTCTGGGCCACAAGGCTGCGCGCGCCGGTCTCGTCCCCTTTCTCCCCAGTCAAGTAGGCCATGCGTTTGTGCGGTTTCACTTTTTGCTGGCTGATGCGCGGCGCACACGAGAGCCCGCAACACGTTTGGAAACCAGACACGCCACGGAAGAAGCAACACGACCCGCGCCTGGGTGCTACGGAAATGACAGGTCGAGACGCGTCGTCCCAGCAGCCACTTGGTCTGCTTCCATGGCCTACCTGCACATGGTATATCGGAACAGTTCGCTGGTAGACTCACCGGGACGATGCTCGTCGCCTATCGCCAGCCATGGCGACGACCGACATCCCACCTCAATGGCGTCTGCGACTCCGCCAATACCACCGCTACGTGACATACTGGCGTACCCAGGCCGACGCAGACGGAGAAGATAGAAGCGCGGACGCCCTGCCTCCTCCTTTAGATGTCGATCTATGGCGTATCATCTCCTCCATTGGCCCACGACCAGACCCAGAGGCGCAGGAGGAGGAGGAGGAGGACTGGCCGGCCCATTGGGCGTCGAACCCACGGAGCTGGTCTGCGTCGTGCCGTGAGCTGCGCAGGGCCATGGGCAAGTGTGGGCAGGCGACGGGCGGAGACGACTCTGGCGGACCGTCCGTCCAACAGGACGATGGTATGGAGGCGATCAACGCGACGACTGGACAGGAAGGCAAATGCGCCCCGCCAAACGAAGCCGAAAGGCCTGAACGTCTCACGGCCTCGGGACCTTCAGCGGTGGCAGAGCAAGACCGAAAGTCGCGCTCTCACACCCAGCATGATGTGAACCTAGCACAGCGCCCCGACGTCACCTCCAGTCCGAGTCTGAAGAGGAGCCCGTTTGCCGCTCGGGTGGACGCTATCAAGCAAAGCATGGCAGCGGCACGGACGGCTCGAGAGGCCATCTTGGCCAGAGCGCTCACGCACGACACAGCAGCCAAGAAGACGTGGAGGAGGTCGCTGCCATTGTCCGATCACACCCCAGCCAGGTGCTCGGATGAGGAAGACGCCAGCGTTCATTCGCTTGAAGAATAAGAGTTGGTGGCAGCCAGGACCCTACCTGACGCTAGGTCCAGCCCCAGCATTACATCGAGCGCCCCCAGTGCCCACGGCGGGCAACAGTGCGATTGGCACGAGCAGGACCTTGATGCAGCGGATGAACGGACGGCCACACAGCACGGCGAAGAAGACCAGAGCAGCAGCCACCGCTCCACGGAGCGAAGCGGTTCAACACACGAGGGGCGCGCGGAGTTTTCCTTTCACGAAGCCTTCGCCCTGGCGGTGCGACACAGGAAGGCCAGTGGTGCCAATAGCTAGATGACCATATCCATGCCTCAGCTTGTACAGAGACAACTCGTGCAGACTTTCACACTTTTAATTTCGATCCCTGGTTCAAACTTCCTTCTGCTGCCCAGACAAGACACTTCCACCCTCTGCCGTGACGTTTGCGATGTCTTGGGCGACAAAGCGCGAACAAAAGATTCGTCCAGCACGCCCGCTTCATTCTCACGCTATTGTCAGTTGGGAACAAAGCCTGCGCAGGAGCATCAAAAGTCGCAATTCTTCATGCCTTTGGGCAACCAACTACCCTCTCCGCCGTCGCGCCTCACCATGTGTCGGGACAATTCGAGTCATGTACGTCCACGTCGGCCCATGCTGCTTGCGTGAACTAATCAGCTTCCAGATGATCTGCGGACTAGATGTCCATCGCCTCCTCGCCGACAGTGAGCCCGCGACACACGCTCGTCTGCCATTCTGCGACGGGACGCGCGGCACCATTCTGATCAGTCTCCTATCAACCTCGATGGATCGTCGCCTCTTACATCTGGAGAGATCCACGTCTACTCGCCTGCCTTTCTCGCACGAGCACGATGCCTTCCTCAAAAGGGTCTGGCGAGAGTGCAATTTGCATCATGAAGGTCTGGAGGCCTCCCTTGCCATTCAAGCAACGTGGGTCAACCTCGTCCTCAAGCTAGCCACGGCCAGCGTCCAGTCGGGCGCATCATCGCGCGTCAGCGAGAGGACTATACGTGCCTGGCGCGCAGAGCCGGCAAAGGCATACCGCTGGCTTCGCGAACAGCGCGCCCGCAGCGACGACGACGCCGTGACGGTGACGAGCTGGACGAACAACCCCAGAGACTTGACCGACAACCACAAATCCATTCTACGGCAGCACATCGCTCGCGGGGACGATGGGCAAGGCGGACATCCCAAGGCACACGCTTACATCCAACGGGTCGCTGATACACTCGTACACAATGCGCTCAACAAGTCGCTCGGCGAGATAGAGGCGGCCTCCAAAGGAAACATGGACGGGAGCCAGGAAGATGCTGCTCTCCAGCGGGCTGTCATGGACGAGGTATATGGGGAGGTGAAGAAACGGCGGAACAGGTATAGGCAGGCGTAGACTGGAATCACGAGCGTAGACTAGGCTCACACGTACAATTTTCGCGGTTGAGTTGAGATTGCGTGTCGGAGAATGGCTTCCACATCAATCCCGAGACCTCATTCTGTTTCTGAGTACCCTGTGCCATTGGCGGAGACCAGACCGAGCCAGCGTCAAAAGAATTCCTCATGTCATCAGCTTCATTGTCCAAGAAATGTCAATTATCATGCAGTATCTTCCATTTCTCCTCTCATTTCTCCTCATCTACCAGGCGTTCCCGGCCACTTGGCCCTTGTGCTCTCGATCCTCCCCTCCCCTCTTGCAACGATTCCCGAACAACCAGCGGCTTCTGCTGCCGCTGCACAGCCAGGGCCTCGATCTGCAGCTGCAGATCCTCTCGCAGTCGTATATGGGTACTCTCTTCCTCCAGGTGCGCCACCACTCGGGCCAAGACAATCTGCGTGCCCCGGAGAACACGGGAGATTCGCGCAGACGCGCCATCTGCCCTGTCTGCGCGGCTCCTGAGACCCCGCCCCTGCGCCGCTGGCTGTGGGACAGCGTTCAGGGCTCGGTCGATGAGCTGCTGGACGTGGGAGAATTGCGCTACCATGTCTGCGTGGCACGTCCTCGACGCGGCGAGCGTGTCGTCGCGGGAGAAGAGATGAGCCTGCACCTCGAGTCCCTCTAGCGTCTGCGCACAGAATTGCTCGCCGCCGGATGTCGATAGTCCACGAACGATTCGCAAGACCCAGCCTAGAGACCACTGGCCTTGAGCCGTGCTGCGATCACCATCGTGGACACAAAGTGTGTTGAATACATGCACACTCTGACCCAAATGTGCGAGACGCTCTTGCTGCACACGGTCGTACATGGCGAGCCCAGCGTAGCACGGCGCGTAGCCGGCATGCGCTCTGCGCAGGCTACGCAGAGCATCCTCCGCCAAACCATGTGCACTACTCGCCCACGCGGGAGGAGAGGCGCGCGTCTGCTTGAGCTTCTCGAGTTCTACCAAGGCGACGTTGAGGACATTGGTGTCTGCCCACAGCTTCTCGAGGTACAGGCTGACCACCGGGTATTTCAGAGGCAGTGGGTTCTGGAAGTTGGCCGACGCAGTCGTGGCGATCGACTGTACAGTGGAAGGCGGAGAATGGGCAGTGGCAGCTGTGGTGCCAGCCAACACGCTCGCTGACAGCATCCTGAAGCCATGGCCCACCTCCGAGACACCGATGCCAAAGTAGCCCCACGCAACGTCAAAGAGGCTCTTGATGATAGGCAAACGAGCGGGGAGGTCGCTGACAAAGCCGTAGATGATCAGCCCCAGTAGAGCCAGAGCTACAAGGACAATAGATCTGCGCCATGATGGGCGGAAGTAGAGCGTGAAGTTGAGCAGCAGCACAGCGACACAGAAAGCTCCGTGGAAGAGGCTTGCACCAATGGAGCGATAGTCAATGGGCACGGACGGTTCATTTGATGCCGCCGAGGCAGATTGTGGCCGGGAAGAGCCTGGCTTCTGCCTCATGGGCTTAGACTTGGGGGCATGGTGCTGCCTGGGCTCAGGCTTCGCACTGTCGTGTGTTTTCCCGATTGCATGTCGCGAGGCAAGCCGAGGGACGCTCCCGTTCAATGTACTGTCGTCGCATTTCAGCTGCTCCTGTCCATGCTCGCGGGAGGCAGCAGCCTGCGCAGCGCGAAAGATACCCTCATCCGCAATGTGCCGCTGGGCCTCTCTTGATGCGTCCCGATGGTTTCCTTGTTGACGCTGAGGCTCGCCTCGGGCTCGACGAGCGCTCTTTTCTGACTCGACACGTGGTGGGAAAGATGGCCCGTGTTGATGACAGTGTTCATCCTGCTCATGCGCACGATTGTGCCGATGCTGCGTACTCTTGGTTGTATCAGCTGGATTTACGTGCTGTCGTGTGTCGGCGTGGCGTCTAGCTTGCTCGACGGGAGCGTCGAATCCCCTGAAAAGATTGTCCATCTCAGGGTGCGTGAGAATGGAACGCCAGCAAGGGGTTGAAGTCCAAGGTTCTTTTCAGCAATGATATGGCCTCGTGACCATGACTGGCCGGCATGCGCTTATATAAGACCGAGGTGATAAGCAACAGGCTGGTTTTGTTGAGCAATGGTCAGAGATGTGACAAAGCCCGCAGGCCTGGAGATGAGACAACGAAAAAGCAAGCGGAGGCATGGGGGCGTAGGGCTGCGGCGTCAAACAGGCGCTTGGCATAATTTCGTCACTGAAAATATGGGTGACGAGCCACCTCTGTCTTCAGAGCATCATAGCTTTGTCGGCATTGGGCTGATCGACCAGCAGCTGCAATCATCACGTCGCTGGTTTCGTCCGCCATGGCTTGAGCACAAACGACCTGCAGCTTATCCAGGGCACACCCCATGTTCGCACCTGGGTGGGACAGACCATCCATGACAGCCAGGGACATGCGTATCCAGTTGAGGTACCTTTGGTGGAACAAGTCGCACCAATCCAGCTCAGCAACCTCGACGGCAGCGGCGGCCTGCTCGAGTGGATGGAGTCTTTTCAGTATTTCGTTGTCGCGCTGCTTGGCATTGGCTTGCCTCCAACGCTCCAAGAGCAGAGTGTCAGTTTCGTGCTGCTGGTCCGTTTCGCTCGAGAGAGAGGGTTGGCAGCGGTCGGAAGGCTCTGTCAGGCGAGGATCGTCTGTTTGAGGGCGCTGTGGATGCTGATGTAATTGTGTCGGCACGTCTGACCCAGGGAGCTCGAAAACTTCGGACACAGGGCGACGTGGGCGAGATCCGGAGAAGAGAGGGGGCGGGATGGACACTGAACTGTCCATGTCGCTGTCATCCGAGTATGGCGAGATAGGCCAGCCGAGCGGCACATCAGGAGCGGCCTGGGGTTTCGCTGGGGGAAAAAGCACCCGCTCGACCGGTGGTGAGCGACGTCTAACGATGCTGGGCTGAATGCTGGCCCCATCGTCGTCGGTGAAGTCAGCCGGTTCGAACGAGTGCGGATCACTTTGTCGAACAATGCTAGGCTGAATGCTACCACGGTCGGTCCCAAAGTCCATGTCGCGGAATGGAGTACCCGATGTGTGTCGTCCGACAACAGTCGGCTGAACGCTACTCACGTCTGCCCAGCGGGAATGAGATAGCCCACGAATCCGCGCTTTACGAAGAGAAGGTGACGCAGGTGGAGAAGGGCAGTCTATGTTCCTCATAGGCGGCGCCCAAGCGAAAGAGGAGAGACGGCTCGAGCTAGTCGATGGCGTCGACCATGTGGTGACAGGCGAGGGGGGGAATTGATCCACGTACACCGAGCGAGGTGTCCGTGGTGTTTGGCTCCCGGATATGGATGAGTGTCGCTAAAGGAGAGAGCGGCCGAAAACTCGGATGCCAGATCTGCTCGATCCAAGTCGCTGATCGACGGGTCGTAATCAGAGAACGCGGGCTTCCCAGCTGCGGTTTCCTCGGCGACCAAGCCCATGTCTGCAACCAAAGGCAAAGCAAGCGCAGAAAGATCCCCCATCCATCCGCGTGCTAGTATTCTCTCACGTGTTTGCTCTGGCCACACGGTCGTGGCATGGCGGCCAATTCCCTTCTGTTCTATAAGACCTCGGTCGCGGAGATGGTCGTGGAGACAGGCGAGTCTGCGTTCGATGCGGGTCGTGATAATGCCACTGTATTCTGGAAACGCGCAGTTGATAGCTCGGAGAAGCGACGCCCAGTGTTCCTGTTGGACGTGTCAGAGCAGCACGCGCGGAGAGAAAGTCAAATGGAAACCCAGACGTACATTGGAGTGCAGTGTGCTCTTGCTGAGCCGGTGTTGGGCCATGTACTGGTACATTTTGATCTGCGCCTCGCTGCAGATCCATTGGAACGGCTTGCCGCTCTTCCCTTCAAACATGGACAGAGGTTGCCCTTCACATAACGTTGGCGTGTTGCCGCGACACATGGCGTCTTGATGCGATGGGGGCAGGATGGTTCTACGGGCGGAGAGAGAGGAGGTAGGACGCAAGGGTTTAAATGAGGTGGTCTGGCCGCATCGTCGAATGGAGGATAGGCGGTGATCTGGTCCAGGACGACGCGGATGGGGACCGTGCCATCGTGGGCTGGTCTTTCAGCCGGGGCCAGGTATGCGGGACTCTATTGTCACCTGTTTAAGCGGCAGAAGCAAACAAGCCCATACGGGAGGAGGCGAAGTTGGCCGGACAGTAACTTGCTGAGAAATGCCCAGCACATCTGGCCTGTGGCTGTTCGAGGTGGCCAGACCTGCGCTGATCTGAAATGAAGGCGAGGTACCTTGCGTTTGCTCGGGCTGGCGGAAAAATCACCTGCAGCCATGTGGTGGTTGGCGTTTGCTCCTTGTCCGACTGAAAAGTGAGGGAGCAAACGGCAAGCTCTGACGGTCGCGATTACGCCCGGCCGTAAACCTCCACACACTTGTTGTCCCAGCCCCCCAGGCAGATAGATACTCCCAGAAGGACATCATCATTCCTTCGCCTCCCAAGGACGTCGTGATGCAGGCTTGGACGGCTAACCACCACAGCAACAAGGTGCTGTGCAACAAACCCATCGATGACTATCTCCGGCGTCCCAATGGCGGCAACCCCGTCAACAACACACTCATCGTCTGCGGCGAGTGCAAGGGCGTCCTCGTGAACGAGCTGATCCGTCTCCTCCTTTACGACAACGGAAGCGACACGCGGGAATGCGTCACCCTCGCGACACTTCAGCATGCAACCTTCCCATCCACCCATATCGTCGACCAGCTCTGGTGGGCACTTGGGCTGGCTTCGTATCCGGCCCTAGATGTCCTGAAGAAGCCTTGGCGCAAGCTCATCAAGTACATTGGCAGCAATCTTCGCCTCAACACACAGGATGTTGCAGCTCATGCGCGAGGGTGAGCTGGGAATAGCGAGGCAGAACATGCGAGTCGAGAGCAGATGCTCATCTGGTTCGAAGATATGGTCGCGCCGCTCGGCCAACAGCCACGAAGCTGGGACTGCGACAGTCGACTCTCGTGGCAGTGGTTCCAGGAGCGGCGCCAGGCACGACGCCAGCTCTCACCGATCCATCCAAGAGAGCGAGTGTCGTCCGAGACCAAGAACCCCCCCTCCGATGCTGAGTTGGTGCTCCAGATTCGCACAAAGCTGGCAGAAGTGGCGGGCCAGCTGCAGCTCGTCCACGACGCATCCCAGGCAGAGGCGGAAGAGAGGGCAGACATGCGGCGAAGGGAGATTGTGAGTCTGCGTCTGAAAGCAGAGAAGGGGGCACAAGAACCGGACAAATTGCCAGCGCATGGCATGCAAGACGCCACAGTGAGGCGAGAGGCCACACACAGAGGCCTCAAAGACCAACTTGCGGCGTTGTCCGTTCTCTTGGCCAAAGCGAGTCATGGTGGGGTGTGAAAGTGTAGGACAGGGTGCTCGGTGGATTGACAGAGGCGTTCACATGGTGCCCACGAGTGGGCTGTTGTCACAGTGTCCAAAGTAACGAGGTTTCCGGGGAGAGCATTTGACAAGGGAGTAATTCAGCCGTAGTGACCCTTGTGCACGCTTCGCCAGCTTGTGATATCCATCGCATCTTCACCCTTGAGCAGTCGGCCGCGTGCACTCGATAGAATGGACAAGTGCCTGTCCAAGAGTGTCCTCTTCGAAACAGGATTTCATATGGTTGCTGTAAGAGAGAGCCAATGTCGGTGCTCTCCCGCGAGACAGCGGTGAGCAGCTCTGTACAACGAATCTCGAGGGGGCCGACAGCAGAAGCAGATCCAAAACCAAGCAACGTGACGTGTCCCTTGCCCTTCGTGCCGAGGGTCCCATCCCGATCCGTCGGACCAACAAACGACTGGTTTGGATCCAGAGGGGTGATACAAATAACGCCGATGTACCCAGTCTGTCGGTCATACTGGGTGGCATTGATCTCGTCATCTCAGTCTCCACTATGCTCGCTGGGAATGGGCCTCGGGTGCGGACTCGAATGCCGAACAGGGCCCCTTTCCTGAGCTTGCTTACTGGATTGGCGGCCAACCCGGCGTCTCGACGTTGAACGACCCGTCCTACGAAATATACCGGGATCAAACAGACAGACCTGCGTCTATCGGACCAGACCAATGGGTTGGTGAGTGATTGCACTGTTTTCACACTTCAACCGACCTGCATACTCACCACCAGACAACCCCTTTCTTACACATTCTCGAGTAGTAACTAACAGCTTGCATGTGCATAGTCTTCCACATCCACCTTGAAGCCCCCGCCCGTGACAACAGACCAAGAGCAGACTTCCTCGGAAGCGGACCCGATGGCAACACATACGCAGGAACACCCACCATAAGGGTATTTCATGGGCAGTATATCACGGAGGGCCGATACGATAATCGCCAACAATGGAATGACTGGCGGGTCTCTGGCTCGGAAGGTTTGTCCACGACGGCGAGACGGACCTGGAGCTGCCCCTCTGAAGACCACAGTTACTGGTATGTCGGGTCACCCAGAGTCATTGACAGCGACAACGCAATCCTGGCATCCTTTTTACACCAATGGGGACGGGACAGCGTCTAAGGGCCTGGATATCTCGGTCAGACAGGCTTGCGGCTTATCATCGAGCCCAGCTCCCATGATCCGCAAGAACCGCTCGTGCCCGATGATCCCAATGATTTCCTGGCGTGGCCACCTCGAGGGCGAACAACGGCATTTGGGGGGGATAATCCGTACCATCGAAACTTTCGCATCGAGAACGGGCAGATCTATCTTGTGCCCGACGACCCTTGGTAACATGTACATTGTTCAGACTTCACCTTGATAGGTGGAGGAAGGCATGAGGAAAACCACAACCACATGGACCCGCTGATGCAGGCAAGAGAAGAGGAGGAGGTATCATGATGCTCCTCGGGAGTTGTGGCATCGCATAGTCGCTCGCATAGATCCCGTTTGCAAAACTGCAATGTAGACTCAGCAGTCCATTTACCGTGTATTCTGCTTCTGTTACCTGACCTCTTGTCAGACACCATCACTCCAAACCCACACTCCACAAAAATACTTACCTACATGTACATATATACATCATCTTGAGAGCATTCCCAAATAGCCTCAAATGTCTCTCCACAGTAAGCCCACAATGACATCAGCTGCCTCGGTCCGCACGGCCAACGCTTTCGAATCGCGTGCCATCTCAAGAGCCGACACGCCGCTTCCATCTGTCAGTGAAATGTCGGCTCCTGCAGCAACAAGTGCTCTAACAACACCAGTAGCACCACGCTGTGCAGCCCAGTGCAGAGGCGTCAAGCTTGGCTGTATAATCCAGCTTCGGGGCGAGGCATTCATCATCGTGTCGCTGACTCGATGACCCCAGGGCATACCGAGCTGGTCATCCGACGTGCGAAGGTAAGTAAGCAGGGGAGCACGCGCTTCTGGGTTAACACCACGGGCGATAAGTTGCGCAGTAAGCTCGCAGACCTTACCAACATGAAGCCGCAGGTCAAGATCACAGTGAAGAGCCAATGCGTGCAAGGGTGTCCAACCCTCGGCCGTAACCACTAGGGGATCTGCCCCATAGGAGAGGAGACATTGAGCCGCTTGCGTTGCCTGAGATGCCGTAGTTACGGTCACGGCCCCGCGATTGTACGGAGGCATAGACGATGGGGTTAAAGCACACATAAGCGGGGTCCAGCCCTGGGTGCTTTTTGCGTTAATATCTAACCCTCGAGAGATCAAGTACTCCATGATCTCGACACAGCATCCGGCGGCAGCGTAGTGAAGTAAGGTCTCTTTATGTTCATTCGTTAAGGCCATTAACGTGCTTTCGTCCCTAAGTCGATTAGGAAATGGACATAAGTAGAGGCAGAAAAAGCGTAGATCGGAGCCGTAGGCGGCTAGTTGAATGGAAGAGTCCCCGTTATTATCGAGCAAGGTCACGGAAGCCCTATGCTGAAGCAGCAGCTTAACGGCTACCTCATTCAAGACTTTCCGTCCGCTATCTTGGCCACCCACGGGCACTGGCAAGGCAAGAATGTGAAGAGCAGTTGCTCCGGAATGAGGAAGCCGTACGTTCGGTTCCGCCCCTTTCTCGAGGAGTATTGTGAGCGCGCCAGTGAGGTTGGCGTTGGAAGCAGCCTTACAAACCAGAGGGTACCCACTCCCAGAGATAGAATGATTTAAATCAGCTCCAGCACTAATGAACAGCTCTATTAGGCGTTGCTGGTTGATATAATCGAAGCCCTCGGAAACTCCTCTGAGCCAGGCCTTGTTGCTGTTTATGGCGCCGAAGAGAGCCTGCGTTGCCGATTTTCGGTCGAGGAGGTCGCTCTTGAAGAGCCGAGCAACCACATTATAATCCCAGTCTGCGGTTGCATAGCTCAAAACTTGCTCCAAATGATCCTTTGGCCAGCCGTCCCAACTCATCAGATCCTCAACGATCTGCGCGTGCCCGTACTCTCCTGCGGCACGAAGTGGGCTTTTGACATGGTCTAGGGGTTTGGTCTGCTCTTCGGGAGGACCGCACGTCCACAGGTGACGGACAACGTCTCGATGACCATTCATAGCAGCCCATCCAATAGGTCTGATCCGCCGAGTCCTGCGGTCAATGAGCAGAGGGTCGGCTCCAGCTGCTAGCAACAGCTTCTCGGCCTCGAGGTCACCGCACCCCGCAGCGAAGTGAAGGGGTGGCCCGTGCTGCAGATGGACATGGCCGAGGTCTGGGTAGGGTGAGGAAGCAAGCAGCTCCTGTAGCCGTGACAGGTTACCATCGCGAATGCATGAGTACACAGCCTCAACGGCATTCTGAGCCGGGTCATGGAGGTCCTCGGCAAGATTGGCGCTCATCGCGCGGTGTGGCTCCGACGACCTGAGATCAATGAAATACTCGACAAAATGTTTCATAGGCCGCAATTTGGACAGTTCTGACAGACCTACCTGTGACGACAATTTGGCGTGATGCTTGGATGTAGGTGTCCACGCCGTTTTTGAATAAGTTCGGTGATATACCCAAGAAGTGGGTTGATGGCTTCCCTTACTTACATAGTTGCTATATGCATAACACAGTAATTGCATGTATCAATTAAGCGTCCCGATCAATCCACAACGGAGTACAGCGAGGCTGAAATAGCCGATGCGGGATCGGCACAGGACGGACACTTGACCACTAGAAAAGTTTCATAGCATTTCGGTCTCGCAAGTAAGGAAGAGCGACAGGACAGAACATAGGCGACACAGCCATGCGTGGAAGCACAGAACAACGATGGTGCGATGCCAGTGCAGAAATCCGATACGCGTAGAACTAAGTACCTTCGGAATGCGGGCACGTAGCCGTTAGTTAAGGTGGGTGGGGCACCCTCGTAACTAACTAAGGCCCTTCGGACCTTAGTTAGCTAAAAAATTATATATTACTTAAATAATTATATATTACTCTTATCCTACGGTTACGAAACCCTTTATAATATAAATTACGCATAAACTAGCTTAATAATTATATTAAACTATCGTTATTTATTATATTTAATTTTTATTATAACCTTAAATAAAAAAACCCTTATTTAAAGGCTTAAGTCACCGTAGTTATTTAATATAATATTAAATACTTAATAAAAAGGCTTTATTCGATACATATTAAAATACTTTTCAAATATTTAATTACTAAGAAATATAATATATATTATACTTAGTTATAACGGGAATATATTAAACTTATTAATTTATACTATCCTAAGCGCGCTAGCTAGCTAAGGGCTATTTAACTCGCTAAAGAATACGTTATTATTTTTATAATAACTTAATAATAAAAAATAATCGTCCTTATAATATATAAAGAGATAATTAAGTATTATACTTATTTTCTTATAGCTTAAGGTAAGCTTAATAAACCGCCGAAATATTAATATCGCGATTTTTAAGCTTAATACCCTAAGATTTTAAAGAAATTACTTAAGCTTATGAAATATATTAAGAAAAGCTTCGAAAAATAACTTATTAAGTATAATATAAGCCTTTTTAAGCTTTAAAATATGAATAAATATAATATAACATAATAAGCTAAGAAACTTTATTAAGGTTATTATAATAAGGACTTTATCTAGTAGCTTAGTTAACCGCTATAAAGTTACTAAGCCTGGTGTAAAAAAAACCTTAATTTTTATAAGCTATAAAAGTACCTATAGAGATTATATTAGCTTATAAATAGTATTAAAGGCCGGGCTTATTATTAAATAAGCTAAAAATAGACCTTTACTTAGAGATAAAGTTTATTATAATAAGGAGTAGCTTTAATAACTTTTAAATTATTATTAAATAACTAAGAACCTCCAATTATTAAAGCTTTAATTATTTAACCCGCGCGAAAGCTCTTAGCTAGTTTTTTATTAATTATTTTAGCTATAATAAATACTTAAAGAAATATAATATAATATATAAGATAATACTACTAAAGGGCTGATTTAGCGATAATAGCTATCGCGTATAGCGTATACTTATTATTAATAGCGTTATTAGCTATTTTTTTATTGAAGTTATACTTAATTATATAACTTTTAATATTATTATAATTTTATTACCGGTCTACTTATTATACTTATTATAGCTATTAAATATTAGTATATTTAGTCCTTTTAAGGCTAGGTATTAAGGAGAGCTTTATAATATAATTAACGCTAGTAAAATTATTTTTAGCTATAAGTAATATATTAATATATTCTAGAGAATATTTAATAAAGGCTTTATAATATATAATTTAATATTAAGCTTTAATAAAATAAGGCTATAGCCGCCGATAAAAAAGAAAGTATTAATAAAGATTATAAAGTAAATAAATCTTATTAAACTTATTAAACTTATTAATAAAGCCCTTAAAAGCTTTTATTATAAGAATATTAATAAGCCGATTTAGCCTTTATTATTAAATATGTTTATATATATTAAAGCCTTTTTTTATTATTTATAGAATTAAGGCTATAATTAATATTAAAAATCGCCGCTAAGGCTATAATAATGTATCGCGATATTATAACCCTTTGTTATATTATTTATTAATAAATTAATACTTATATAAATAAAAGAATATATAATAAAAGATTAAAATTAAATATTAATTTCTTTAATATAATGAATTTTATTAATATTAAGGCTTAAATATATAAATAATAAAAAAAGAATTAATATAATATATTAATTTAATTTTTTGAATTTATTTTTTATAATATTTCTATAAATATTTTTTAAATTAATTTTTAAACAATTTAATTATATAATAAATATATTAAATTTTAATAAATATTTATTAATTTTATTTATATAAATTTTTAATAAATTTATTTTAATTTTATTATTAATTTATTTATAATATATATTTATTTTATAATTAAAATAATAATTTTTTTTTAAATTTATATAATTTTATTATTAATTATTAATTTTTTAAAAATTATATAATTATTTTAATTTTAAATAAATATTATATTTAAGTAATATTTAATATTATAAAATTAAATTTTATATTTTTTTTAAATTTTAAATTTAATTTTATAAAATTATAATTAATTTATAATTATATATAAAGTTTTTTAAATTATATAATTATATATTTTAAATATTTTATAATATTAATTAAAAAAAGATTTTTTTAAATATTATAATTTTTAAAATTTAATAAAATATTTATATAAATTAATATAAATTATAATAAAATATAATTATAATAAATATAATTAAATATAAATTAAATTAAATTTTAATTTATATTTTAATTTTTATATTATTTTAATATTTAAAAAAGAATTTATATTAAGTTTTTAAATTTAAATAATAAATTAATATATTTATAACTTTTAAATTAAATAATTTAAAATTTAAAATTATTTTTTAAAAATAAAATAAAAATAAAATATAATATATATAAATATAAAAAATTATTTAATAATAATTAATTATATTTCTTTATTAATAAAAAAAGTTTTTATTAATTTTTTTTTATTTAATAAATTATAAATATTATTTATATATTTATTTAAAAAAAATATTTTATTTTATTTATTTTATTTTTATATTAAATTTTAAATAAATAATAAATATTAAATATTAAAATTAATTTAAAATTAATTTTAATTTATTTTTTATTTATAAATATTTTTATAAATTATATTAAATTTAATAATTAAAATAATAAGAAAATTTAATTTACTAATAATTTAAATAAAATCTTAAATTATAAATTTATATTATTATATTTATAATAATTTAAAATTTAAATTTAAAAAATATATATAATAATAAAAATATAAAAAAGAATTTTTAAATATAATAATATATATAGATTTTAAAATAATAATAATATATTTTTTTAAAAAAAATTAAAATAATTATATAAATAAAAAAATAAATTTAAAATATATATAAATTATATAAAAAATTATATAAAATAAATTTAATATTATTTTAATAATTAAATTTATAAATTTAAAATAAAAAAATATTAATAATTTAATTTTAAAATATAAAATTAATAAAGATAAATTATATAAAATAAAATTATTTTTTTAAAAAAGAATTTATAAAAAAGAATTTATAATATATTATATTTTAAATTTAAAGAATAAAATATAAATAAAAATAATATAATATATTATAATTTTAATAATTAATAAATTAAAAATTATTTTAATTTAAAAAATTATAAAAAATAATTTATAATTTTTAAGGTTTTTAAAATATTATTAAAATTAAAAATATTATTAATTTTATAATATTTATAAATAAATTAAAATTTTAATTTTTTTTTTAATTTAAATAACTTAATTAAATTTAAAAAGATTTTTTTTAATAATATTTTTATTTTTAATTTAAATTAAATTTAATATAAAATTAATAAAAAATAAAAAATAAAAGTTTTAATATTATTATTATAAAAACTTTTTTTATTAAAAATTTTATTTATATATTATATTTTAAATTAAATATATAATATTTTATAATATTTTTTATATATATATTTTTTTATAAAATAAAAAAAGAATTTAAAAATTAATATATTTATTAAAAATTATAAAAATATTATTAAATATAATTATTATTAAAAACTTTTATTTTAATTATTTATTTTAAAATTAATATAAAAATATAATAATAATAATATAATAAATATTAAATTATATATTTTTATAAATATTTTTTATTAATTATTTAAATTAATTAAATTAAATTAAGTTTAAAAAAAATTTAATAAAAACTTTAATTTAGTTTTTTTTATAATAATAATATATAAAATAAAATATTAATTTTTATAATATTAATTTTATATTAAAGCTTATTTTATTTATATTTTAATTATAATCTTTATATATTAATTTTTTTAATATTTTATTATTATATTAATAAGGTTTAAAAAAATTTAATTTAGATTTATAATAAGTTAGTTTTTATTATATATAAACTTTATTTATTTATATATTATTATTATTATTTTTTTTATTTTTTTTTTATATTTATAATTAAATATTTCTAATTTAAATTTATACCTTTATTACTTTTTATTTATTTATTATTCTTTTCTTCATAATTTTAATTAATCTAGCTTTATTCTTACCCTCTTTTTATTTAATTCTAGCTTAAATCTTATTATATTATATAGCCTTCCTCCTTATAAAGACTAAGAGTCCCTTAAGGTTAGTAATTATCGCTATAATAAATATTAATATAAAACTTATATTAATATTATTATCGCTAGAAAATACTTATATAATCTTAATCTTATTATATTCTATTTATATCCATTATATAATATATTTCTTAATTTTTTCTTAACTCAACCTACGCTTATTTTATAATTTATTAACTCT